TGCAGCGGGCCTACGGCGAAGACGTCGGTGGCTGCGCGCGACGCGACGTGGGCCAGCGCCGGCCGCTCCATGGACGCGGCGGTGTTGAGCAGGAGCACGCGTGCCGCCTTGCAGCTACGAGCGATCGCCTCGGCGACCTTGAGCACCATCGGGTCCGAGCCGCCCTGCTCGGCGCAGTGGAGCTCGCGGGGAAGGTCTCGCCGCCGGAACAGCAGCCAGAAGATAGAAGTGACGAGAGTAGCAGGGCGCGGTAGGCGGGGCGGCTTGTGTCGCACATGGACGCCATGAGGTCCAGGAAGCCGCGGGGGTGGTCGTCGGGGAGGCCGTCGGGGACGGAGAGCACGCGCATCGGGCGCGGCGGCGGGGGCGGGGGCGCGCGGGCGAGGCGGCGGAGGGTGTGGTCGGTGTGGAGGAAGGTGACACGGACGCCGGCGTCGACGAGGGCGGCGGCGAGGTGGAGCATGGGGTTGATGTGCCCCTGCCGCGGCCAGGGGAAGACGAGGACGTGCGCCGCCGCGGCGTCCATGGCTTCACCTCACCGGGGCAAACGTACGTCCAAGGTCCAACGCGCGCGCGTGCAAATCCAAATCCAATGTCGATCGGCTCCGTGTTTGCTCGGCCCATTTGAAGTGGTCTCGGTCGGTCCAATGGCATCTCTGGCTGCAACCCGGCCGGTCCGGCGCCGCAGGAACGTTGATTAACAGTATATATTTTTTTTAAAAGGATTGAAATCTAACCCCACCAAAAAGAAAAAAACCGCCAGTAAGTGCTGACTCAGTGTCTTGATCAGCTCGGCGGCTGAGGAGAGATCGATCGGGGAATGCTGCCAAGTCCAGGTGGTGCTGCACGGCACACCATTGACAATTTTACATCACTTCCACATGCGCCCGAAGAAGCACACCGTTATCTTACGCTCCTCCCATCAAATCAGCGACAATTAATATGAATCAGGGAGTAAATATCATTGTACTCCTTGTACGACCATGTCACATGAGTAAATTGCAAAAAACCATCAATTTGAGAACTAGGTTAGCAGAAATCACCACGTTACAGTTTCTTGGCAAAAAACACCAACTCTCTCATAAAAAATTTGCAAATACCATTGATCGGCGGATCGGGCACCGATAAGTGGATTTATGATAGGTGGGGCCCGGTTCTTGCCGACGTGGCGCTGTCAGCTAGTCTGACAGCCGTTAGACGCCGTTAGACGGCGCCGTTCGTTCTGTTTCCTCTTATTCCCCGTTTCCCCCGTCTTCTTCCCCCGTTTCCCCCGTCTTCTCCCCTGTTCCCGGTCATGCGGCGCACCGTCCCCGCCCCCCATCGCAGCCATGAGTCCGGCGAAGTCGAGCGATGCTGGCAGCGGCGCCCAGCCGTCCACTGGCGAGATGTGCGGGAGCTCGAACCCTACGAAGGCGACGGCAGAAGAAGAGGAGGAGGAGGACCCGCAGTACTCGGTGGAATTCAGGGCGGCCAGATCTTTCACCGCGGCGGTGAAGGCAAATCCAGTTGGAAGCCAGCACATTGCTTCAGCTTTCGGCGGCGTCTAGTTAGATCCCAGTCCCATTCCCCTCCCCAATCACATTCCCCTTCTGTTGCTAGGGTTAGGGTTAATGTACTTCTAGGGTTTGTGTGTGTTATAGTTCTGTAATTAGAATGATATAGTTCTTTAATTAGATGCTTACAACTAGGGTTTCTGTAAATAAAAGGATATGAATTGTTGCACTCAAATGATGTTCTGCTCTGGTCTGCACTAGCTTGCTTCAGTTCCCCTTAAGTCCTCTGTCTCTTGTTGTCTTCATACATCAACCATAACTTGTGCAATGCATTCTCAAGGGTATTGGGCCAAGCAGGATCAATCCATTTAACTAGTCCACAGTCTCTACCTTCCTGAAATAAGGTAGTATTCAAAACCATATTAAAACCTTTCATCACAACCAAAGCTAAAGATATTATATTTCAGGAAGAAAAGCACTGATGTTTTGCTCTCAATTATACAATGATGTGCTGCTATTAGGAATAAACTAACCCATGCATCCACTGTACTTTAATCTAATTAACATTGTTGCCAGAGTAAAAAATGACTGCCTAAACACTCTCCTCAGAGTAAACAATGACTGACTCAACACTCTCCTAAGAGTAAACAATGACTGCCTCAACAGTCTCCTAACTTAACAATAAATAAACAATGGCCAAATCCTAACAATGATTGTGCTCTCGCTTAGAAACATATACCTTCTCAGCGCAACAGAGAAACCTCCTCCCAGTTAGAATTCCTTCAAAAGCAACGCGCCTCTCTGCTAACTTCCCGTGACCATGGCACAAAACCTGCATTTCATCTTCAGGGCCCTCGAAATCGAAGTCCTCAGTTGAAGCAGGGACCTGGGAGTGCAAAGAAATGCATAACATTTCATTAGCTAACACACAAGCTCCTTTGAGAAAAATATCCCCAAATCATAGAACAAACCCTAACCCTAACCCTAGGAAAATATCCCCAAATGCATACCTGCATTCTGCCGTCGTCTGAATCAGAGCTGATGTACTGCCTAGTGTGCTCGCTGCTATCGTCGCTTTCACTCCAGGACACCATGACGATGCGGCGGCGGCGGCGCGACGCGGAGCGGAGCGGCCGACGGCGGCGAGCAAGAACAGAGCGAGAGCGAGAGCGTGCGAGAGCAAAGTGAGAGTGAGAGTGAGAGACAGAGGAGTGAATCACTTAAGTTCACGTGCGAGAGCGCCGTCTAACGGCGTCTAACGGCTGTCCGACCAGCCAACAACGCCACCTCGGCAAAAAACGGGCCCCACCTGTCATAAATCCACTTACCGTGTCCAATCCGCCGATCAGTGGTATTTGCAAATTGTTTACGGGAGAGTTGGTGTTTTTGCCAAGAAACTGTAACGTAGTGATTTCTGCTAACCTAGTCCTCAAACTGGTGGTTTTCTGCAATTTACTCTACTTCACATGCTTCGATGTTCCGACACCAGACACCAAGAAATGAAGTAGCAAAAAAGGGGAATATAAAGCGAGAAGTATACTACTCTGAACATTCCCAGAGATTCTTTTGGAGGCAGAGCTCCATGAAGGCCTCCAAATGCAAAGTTCAAAATTTGTGAAAAATTTATTTGTTTACATGCCAAAAAAATTCTAGAAAAAAATACAGAGTTAGATGGAGGCATTGTTCACAAGTGTGTAAATTTTCAGGACGAGATACGGTGAAAAATGAGTGTTGTGCGGAAAAGACAAATCCGGGGCTTTTTAACGCATAATACCATTCATCCTCCCAGACCATGAATTTGTTTTTTTTTACCGGACACATTTCAACGTATTTCATCCTGAAATTTTACACACATACACCTCACATCCCTTGTTTTTTTTGAAATTACATCCCTTGTTTAATTGTACAAATGTTTTCAGATTTTTTTTGAATCTGAAATTTTGGAATTTTGATTTTTTTTCTTTTCAAAACGCCATTCTCTGAACTTTGCAATAGATAAAATTTGACATGATAGATAGATACTCCAGTCATGAGTGAGTAAATCTCAGAGCAGGGTTGTGGAGATGGACGTGCTGCTAATGCTGAAGCTGGATTATCTGAGAGCAGGGAAAAAATCAGTTATGAAATACAGTAATTCTTCTTTATTCTTCTAATTGATTGCAATTAAACTCGGCTCAATCTTCCTTTTACTAAAAAAGATTGAGCCGAATAAAAATAGATCATGATATGATCATGAGACTTGACAAATCGAGATTCGTCTGTTCTATATATGTAGAATATATATATATATATATATATATATATATATATATATATATATATATATATATATATATATATATATATATATATATACGGCTGCGCTATAGTGAGCGTGCGCGCATTTTGAGTTAATCTACGCGCCGGCCGCTGCTCCTAATCACGCGCACGCGGGTGCGCGGGGCACGCGGGTCGCTCAGAAGGCCAAATTTTGAGGGTAACTGTATATGCAAAATAAAGTAACACGCTTTATTTCTGTTACCATTTGTTTCTCCGCTACGCAGGCTGCTGCTACTAATCACAGGCGGGTGCGCCGGTCGATGAGAAGGCAGATTTGGTGGGTAACGGCATGTGCAAAATAAAGTAACATGTTTAGTTATATTACCATGTGTTGCTCCGCTACGCGAGATCTTGCGTCAGTATTCATTGCCCGTAATAAAATAAGTATAGATGGTAATGGACCTATGTTTTTTACCGGCTCTAAGACATCATGATTTCATTTGTAAACATTGCCAGTAATAGATTAAGTGTAGATAGTAATGGACCTAGGTTTTTACCGGCGGCTCTAAGCCATCATGATTTCATTCCTAAACATTGTCAGTAATAGATTAAGTGTAGATAGTAATGGACCTAGGTTATTTACCGGCAGGTAGATATGAAGGTTGCATCCCTAATCATTGCCTGATGGTAAATCGTTACTACTGAAAAGCTAGGAATTAACACTTAGGCTGGGTCACTTTTACGATGTTTCGATGGTGTAGGCGTGCGAGGGATGACTGTTAACTAAAGTATGGCAACGGTAACGTGTTACTATTTTTTTTTTTCTGAGAGAAGGCCAGCAAAGCGCCGCCAACAGTTTTGGTCGTAAGCGTTACGATCAATCTTTTCCCACGTCGCCCGCGCCCTTCCACCTGGTTAGCGCGTCGGCCTAATTAGTCGCGTAGGTTGGCTCGGTTGAAGTGGCCGGAGCGTAGGATAAGGTAGAATGCGCGCAGCCATAGTTTAGCAAGCCTATATATATATATATATATATATATATATATATATATATATTAAGGAAGGTATAATACAATAAAGAAATACAAATAAAATAATAAAATAATAAAATATAGGCGGCAGCAGAGTCAATCCCGTGAGAAGGAAAGGCCACGGTGTCGTCCTCGTCGCTCAATCATTGTGTGCCCCTCTTGGGTCTCGTCCTGCCGTCGCCGCAGAGGAAGACGGAGACACCGTCGGAGGAGGAGCGCCATGGCCGGCTCTGATCTCCTCCGCCCAGATCCAGCCACAGGTCAGTTCACTACTCTCTATCTCTTGAGGAAATTGCTTGGGGCAGAGCCGATCCGGTCGGCCTCCAGCTGCGAATTTCACTCCTTCAATCGCCGGTTGTGGTTGCAGGGCTGGCCATCGTGATCATGGGAGTCAGCGGCTGCGGCAAATCGTAAGATCTAATCTGATTTCAGCAATCATCCCCTCTTCTCTTACTGCTTGCTCCCTCTGCTCTGATGCGAATTCTCTATTCTGCCGCAGGACCGTGGCGGCGATGCTCGCCGACGCGCTGGGCTGCGGCTTCGTCGAGGCGGACGACTACCACTCCCACGCCAACAAAGGTACCACCAACCGACGTCTTTCAGCAATGGTGATGACTTGCAGTGCCACCTCTCAAGCTCTGAAACCAAACTCTGAACTTCTCCGCTCCTCCCATGTCCATGTCGAACAAAACACAGAGAAGATGAGCAGGGGCGTCCCGCTCACGGACGAGGACCGCCTCCCGTGGCTGGAGTCGCTGCGCGACGCCATCCGGGAGCGCCTAGGCCGCGGCGAGGACGTCGCCGTCAGCTGCTCGGCGCTGCGGCTCAAGTACAGGGAGGTTCTCCGGCAGGGGGACATCAGTTACAAGCCTGGGAGCTATGAGACCTGCAGAGTCAAGTTCGTGTGTCTAGAGGCGTCGGCGGAGGTGATCGCCGGGAGGGTCGAGCGCAGGGCGGCGGAAGGGGGCCACTTCATGCCGGCGAGCCTGGTGCGGAGCCAGCTCGACCTGCTGGAGATCGACGCGGCCGAGGGGATCACCGTCGTCGACGCCACGGTGCCCGCCCACGCCATCGTCCAAGCCACCGTCGCCCAGTTCAGGGACGAGCTGGCCTCGACGGCGTGCTGACAACCGAGAGTTTCTGCTGGTTCTTGTTTCTGAACCCAGCTTCATTTCGTCAGTGTACCGGACTGGACAGACAATAATCAATCCACATACAACTTGTAAAAGAGGCTTGCAGACAAGCAATATACTCCCTCCGGTCCTTTTTACTATGCATATTAGATTTGGGTCAAGTCAAACTTTACAAAGTTTGACCAAATATATATTAAGAAATATCAATATCTACCATACCAAATATATATTCTATGAAACTACATTTCATAATTAATCTAACAAAATTGATTTGGCATCGTAAATGTTAATACTTTTTTCTATAAATTCGGTCAAAGTAAAGATGTTTTGACTTCAGACAAAACTTATATGCAGACTAAAAAGGACCGGAGGGAGTACTAGTATCATCAACCTTATGAAATTCATGCTGCAATTCATTCAAAAGTCCTAACGGATGAAGAAGTGCGGACAATGTATTTCAACAATACCTAGTTCATTCAAAAATAAAACATGCATAGTGATGAAATAGGCATGCCGCCACCATTCTCAAACAAAGAAAAAGAAAGACTGAACCTAGCCTTTCTTTTTTGACTGAACGTAGCTAATAACATTAATCGAACTGCTATTGTTCTAACCTGCAGGGCTATAGATATCAAACCAATGTTGCCAACATGGCGCTAATATGAAACCAATAATAGCAGAATGACATGAAAAGCTCAACATGATCATTAATGTTGAACGTGACATATCTGTGCATATCTCTTATCTCTAGTCATTTATATCTTAATTTGTAGAGATTTGGTAGGGTTAGTTGGTCGAAAACATTTCCTATATATATTGTAAACTACTCTGATTAATACAATTGAGTTGCATCCAATACCTTTCTACATGGTATCAATTTTACCATCCGATCCTATTGCCCTAGGCCTTTAGGTGCAACCGATGGGAGACAGTAGCATGGGCTACATACAATCAGTTTGGATGGCGATCCAATAATAGGATAGGTTTTTAGGCATTGTGTCCTATTTTTGTTGGTTGTGGCTATTTGTTTACTTTTTGTTGTTGTTCTCATTTGCATACTTGAGATGTTATCCGTACTTTGATACTTTATTCTTTTACTAAACGGCTTGATGCAGAGCCCGGGGGAATCCTTCTTTTCGAAAAACATATGGGGGGGAGGCTGGATGAGTAGCACCCTGCCCCTTGGATGCAGGCTGATCTTGCTCAGTTCCTCTCTTGGTAGTTTGTGTGTGTATCATATTCCCATGTTTTTTGCTACAGGACAGTTATGGAGAAAATGAATAAAATTATGAGAAGATTCTTGTAGCAATATGGAAGCACTAAGATGGTATCACATGGTCAAGTGGGATTTGAGGGGTGGAGAGCTCAATATCTTTAACATCAGTCTCTTGTGCAAGTGGTTTGGTATGTGAAGGAGCTTCCCTGCACGCCCCCCCCTCATGCTTAATTTGTTTGCTCACCAACCTCTCGCGCTTTCGTCATTGCCGTCCAATGTGCTGTGCCACTGTTGCAGTTGGTTACTCACCCAACCTACAAACTAACAGAATCTACCAAGGAACTCGGAAAAGAAATTGTTATGTTATGTTATTTATAATTTTTTGACGTGGCATGGCTCTTCAGCTTTCATACAAACTGCTAGGCAGAGCCGATTCAATCATGTACTCCTTTCGTCCCAAAATGTAAGACCATTTTTGACACTGTATTTGCTAATTCCACCTCCGCCTTCTCAAATCACGCCTACCTTCTGTGGCTGCAGGGGTGGCCATCGTCGTCATGGGAGTCAGCGGCTGCGGCAAATCGTAAGATTCATTCTCCCTGAAAAATCTTCCCTCCCTCATCCAATCCCTGATGATTGCTTCCCCCCTCTCAAGAACACGGCACGCTTCCGGGAGCAGCGGCTGCAAACAAGCAAACAAGCAGCTTGAGCTCTGTGTAAGAAGGATAGAGAGGGAATTGGTTGAATTGTTGTTGTATTGCTTGAGCCTCATGGGCGTATATATAAAAGTACATGGCCATCTTGAAGTACAAGGCAAGATAGAATAAATCCCATGCTTCCTAAATAACCATGATACTCAACACTCTGCTCTTGTCATCTTATCAGAGAGACTATGGCAATGACACTTGTTCTGAAAGGACATTTTTTCTATGCGAGAATCCCCCAGGACCGTCACGGCACGGGATGCTCGTGGAGGCGCAGGCAAACAAAGGTGCAAAATTCAGAACAAAAAGAGTCTGCCTTTCGGCCCAGCTCTGAAGCTTCTTTACTTGAAAAACAAACTATAAACTTCCTTGCTGTTTCCCTCTCCATGGCAAAAAATAACAAAGGTGCAGCGCCATCAGGGAGCCGACGGCGGTGGAAGGGGGGCACTTCATGCCGGCAAGCCTAGTACAGAGTGCGCTCGACCTCCTGGAGATCAAGGTGGCCGAGGAGATCACCATGGTCGACGCCACGGTTCCCGCCAACGCCATCGTCCATCACCCAGTTCAGGGACGAGCTGGCATCAATGGCAAGCCACCATCACCCAGTTTAGGGACGAGCTGGCATCAATGGCGTGCTGATCCCCGAGCATTCAGTTGAATCCAGTTTCATTGCTACATCATTTGTACTGGACAGATGATCCCATCCATCACGTACAGCTTGTAAAGAGACTTGCAGACAAGCAAGACACCATCAACCTCAACATTACCCAGTTCATTCAAATTTAAACACCCATGGGGATGAAACAGGCATGCCGCCACCCTTCTCAAATCTCAAATCTCAAACAAACAAAAAGAGAAGACTGAACCTAGCTAATAATAACGGTAACCAAACTGCTGCTATTGTTCTAACCTGCAGGGCTATACAAACCAAACTCGCCAACATAGCTTCCATACGGGCTAAGCTTAGGTACGACTGCGAGATCACTTGAACTGCTGCCGGTTGCAAGTACCCTCATGGACGGCCCTCGAAACGGATGCTTAGGTAAGGCTGCGATCATGGGAACTGCTGCCGGTTGTAGGTGTCCTCATGGACGAACACCGGCTCGCTGCTCTGCTGCGGGATCACGGGCTGGCCCATGGAGATGCCCTGGTTCTGCTGCGGCCCCCAGCTCGGCGGGCCTTTCGACGATGTCAGGGCGACGTAGTAGACTATGGCCAGGGCCACGCTCGCGAGGGAGAGCACCGCCCCTCCGGAGAAGACCCCCGGCTTGACCACGTAGCAGAAGCTGCCGAAGTACATGTTCTCCTGGCCCCTCTGGTCGTTCAGTGCAGCTCCGGTCAGCAGGAGAAGGAACGCGATTATGAAGGTCACCCTGCGGAATGCAACAATCCCCAGGATGATGTTATGATAAAATAGTTGATCGAGTCCTTATAACAACGAGGAGTTTGCACGCTGATGAAATGTAGTACTTCCTCTGTTCACTTTTATAAGACATTTTAGACAATTTAGGGAGCGTTCGGAGTCCCTCGGCTCCCAGACTCGGCTCGCGGAGCCGGCGGAGTTGTAGGCTAAAATACTGGAGCTGGAATGGAGGTGCTCCAAAAATCCTCTAACTCCACGGATCTGGTGGATATCCGAACAGGGCCTTAGACAGTGCCCAAAACAGTTCAAAGTTGGCTGTCCAAAACGTCTTATAAAAACAAACGGAGGGAGTAGCATTTAAGTTGTTTTTAAGCAGCACATAGTAGCAAAGGTGAATGCTAAAATGTTCAGAGCAAAATGCAGAATGGCTGACAACGTTACGTCAGACCTATCCAAAAAGTTATTTCCATACGTCATCGTATGAACCATTTCTGATCCTTCCAAAAATACAACAAGCATCAGCATAAAAGCAATGTGCAAACACTTAGGAGTAAATGTAGTATCAGTTTTCATAAAGGGTGAAGATCTAGAGGATCAAACATGCAGACTTTCTAATGAACGTATTCCAAATATGAATGAAATAAAGGAATAGAAAAATGAGACTCAAAAACTCATGATAAAAATAATCAACATGAACAGAGCAACTAGGCTGGAAAGAAGGATCAAAATGACAGTTTTTTTTTTTTTACTTTACCACTGGTTTCAACAAAATGTATGTATGGCTTAGCGTGGGTTCAACATATTATAACAGTGTTCCTTATAACAGTTTCTTACATATCAAAATGAATTTTCTTATAACTGCTAAGCTGAATTTCAATGCTACGTTTAATTCTTAAAAATAAATCTGGGGGGAAGGAACAAAACAGAAGGTAAAGCTGTCGGGCAGAACATTACCAAGATACAATGAATGAGATCAGAGCCACACTCCAGTTAGTGTCCGAGGGGACTGGATGCCTCTTACAACAGATGCAACCAGCAACTGTATTTATAATAGCCTGTGCGACCATAAGGGCAACTGCAGACATCAACCCAAGGCCTAACGCGGGGCTTCTTGGGTATATGCATTCACCTGGAGAAGAGTCGGTTTGCACATCTGAAACCTGCATGAATGAAGCAGACCGTTATACTTGGGTCTTGGGCATAGTAGTAATGTGTCGCTTCAATAATTCTGTGTGAACCTATGACGTTGTTGCAACAAACTCTCTCTAGTTCACGCACAATGAATCGGTTGATTCTTAGTGCCAAATGTGCTCACTGCTCACTGTTTGCCGGTACAAATTCTCTTATTGTAAAGTAGCTTCAAGACAACAGAGTTTTATTGTGAATGCTGTTCAGAAGAACAAGGCAAATTGGCATCCTTGACACTTCAAATATAGGGCATCCTATATCTCTATGCGATAGACATGACTACACAGAATAGCACATGCTCAAGCCTCGAGAGGCATAAATCTGCCCTGTGAGCACAAGCAGTAGGATTTGCGTTATGAGTATCGATCAAATTTAAACCTGAAGCAAGTGATTCTTACTCATGTTTCCCCAATTGCCTCATTAAAAGTGAAAGATAAAAAGATTCAAATGTATCAAGCAAAGCGATCACAATGTACTACTATAAAAAAAAGTTCACAAACAATGTGATACTATATTTGGGAGGACCAGCCAAAGCTTGTGACAGACCATTATATCGATATGTACAGTCCCATATGCATCCATAACATAAACGGATAAACAGATTCCCAACTAGTACAATCAAGGGTTATATATATCGAGAACTTATCGATGCCAACAAAATAGATTGCCACAAATTGCGTTTACGCATCGCCGCACATAGCATACGTAACGTACTAGACAGATTGTAATGCATTGTGCATTTGTCGGTCAGCCCCATGGAAAGCGACAACTTGGACAAATCCTTACCGAATCAGCCAATCATAGTATTTTGGCTACGAGGGATCGCCCAATCAAATAAGCTAGTACAGTCAAGGGATAAACATACATATCAAGACCTTATCGATGACAACAGAATAGAGCGCCATGAATGTCGCAGCAGCAGTTAGTAGGCAGCTCCATGGAATGGAAACAAGCTGGGGCATCACCCAATCATGCTATCTTAGTTAGGAGGGAGGGATTGGGCCAAGCAATTTAGGCCAAGCATCCATTCCATTACAGTACGCCTTCGTTAAGGGCGAATCAGTCGGTCCTTGCAGCAGCAGCACGCTTCACCTGGAAATCCCCAAGGCGCAAATGCACGGCGGGGTCGATCCCAAGCTCTGAGATCGATACTACTAGCATCACCACCGCAGCAACAGGTGGCTAAGCTCCGAGATCGATCTCCGGCCCTGTACCTGCCGGCGTTTCTTGTTCGTCGGTGGTGAGGTGGCGGGGGGGCGAGATCTAACTTAACCGCAGCAGCAAGCAAAGCGAAGCAAAGGGTGGCGGTTTCCTCCGGGGCGAGATTCGCTGGAAACTGACGGAGGGGAACGGGAGGGGTTTGTACCTTGACGCGGGTGCCCTCGGCGGCGAATCCGAGCGCGGCGGAGAGGACGCCGAGGAAGCCGACGAGCGCGCACACCACCACCGCCTTCCGCTCCATCCCCCTTCCCTAACCCTCCTACGCCTACACCAACCTCTCACCAACCTTCCTGCAAGCCACGCCCGCCGGATCTACCACCCCGGTCCGCCTCGGCTCAGCTCTCGTATCCACCAGCACTCACCTGCAGCAGCAAGCAAGCCAGCGAGCGAGCCAACTGCGGAGCAATTTTTTTTCCTTCCCCCCCGCACCCGCAGCGCCTTTTCTTGTTCCTTCTTCCTAGGTGCGGTTTGGCTTTTTATTTTATTTTATTTTATTTATTCTTTCGTTCGTTCTTTCTTTGCGCCTTTTTCTATCCCCGCCTCCTTTCCCTCGCGGCCCGCGCCGCGTCGCTTGCACGCGGGCCCACGCACGAGGCGGGACGGCGTGTCGGTGGGCGTGGCGTGGGGAGCGCGGGGTGCTTGTTCGAGGCGCGCAGGGCGGAGTGGGGTGGGGGGAGACGGTGGGGTCGGACCTGAGTCTATATACGGTGGACCGGTCGTGGTGGGGGCGAGGGGCCCCCTGGCAGCGGGAGGGTGCGCCGTGGACGCGGCGCGTGTAAAATGATGTACTAACTGACTCGGTGCGTGGCGGCGGTGGAGTCTCGCTCGCTCCCCCTTTCTCGTGCCGAGTTCAAACGTGGGGAATGGAATCCATGGACCAGACGAAAGAAGAAGAAGAAGAGAACAATGCCGTCTCTTTTTCTTTTCTTTTTTTATCTTTCTGAGCATATAAGATATCCTCGCTTTTCATCTGCAAGGAAATTGCCTTCCGTTCTTCCAAACTGCTTCCTCTATAGACAAGGACAGAGAAATATAGTAATATCTAAACCAACACTCTTAGGCCTCCTTTGGTTTGGACGATTTTTATAGGAATTTCATAGGATATGATTTTTGTAGGAAAAATTCCTTTAGATTCCTTTGGTTTGTAGGAATGGAATCCTATTCCTATGAAGAAATTCTTTCTATCCTTCATAATTCATAGGAAAATAAATATTAGCCTAGACTCAATGGAAAAAATCCTATGAAGTGAATCAAAGGACATCTTTTTTCCTATTCCTACTCATAGGATTTGAGATGCATGTCATCCCATTTCCTATGACTTTTCTATTCCTATGATTTCCCTACCCTATGAACCAAAGGAGACCTTACATTTCTTTACAGAGGGAGTACGCGTTTCTTTCACGGGGTTAAAACGATATCTTTTTTAAAGCGCGCAAAGTCATGGGGGAGAGAGAGGATCCTTCATGTAGTAGAGTTGGTGTACGGCGTCACCAAAACAAGCCAAGCCCCTTTCAACCTACAAGTCTCCTCAGCTTATGCCTGGATGAGGTTCACCGTAACTCGGCGATACATCTCCAGCAGCTCGGAATGCAAGAGCCATCGGCATTGGGTTTCACACGTCCTTCTGCTAGAGGCGACCACCCAGCAGGGGGAGGGGCTGGGTAGGCGCGACGTGCGATAATGGCGCCGGACCGCACCCAGAAGCAGCGATCGCCATTTTACCTTTCACAAAATAACCCATTAGAAAGCCGCTTGAAGCCGAGCAGGAATCGACCGGAGGCTTTCTGTCTTGGAGGATTTCATTCCGCACGTGCCAACTGCACCAAAGATTACAACTGTATGTTCAGGAAAACCAAAGATTCCAACTGCAAAGCAAGATGAAAATAGCTGGCAGATTCCAACGTTCCGCCATGGCTTGCCACAGTGCAACTGCCCGTGAGAACCTACAGTAGACGTGTAACGTCTCCTCTTTGTCCTCTTGCAAACTACCTAATCCTCCGTATGTTTTATCGATGGGAGGTTTCACAATCCACCCTCTCTTGCCCCCACACGCGAAGCTGCCCGTCTCCTCCCACGGGCGCAACCTCCATGGCCTCTGACGGGCTCCCATTTACACATTCCTCTCACCCCTACTCAGTGTTGTCGGTGCTGCTTCGGCTCCCTTCTTCCATTATTCAGCGTTCCCGCGGGGGCTATCTACCTCATGCTTGGTGCAGGAGGTGACACAGTTCATGCCATATAAGGGTCATGTCGGCCAATCCTCGTCTTTCCTTTTCAAACTTGTTGAGGAGTCCACCGCTACCCCCCTGCTCTCACACGGAGCTGATGTCATTGCCTTCTGTCATCCTCCTCCGCAGCTAGGTATAGGACGCGAAGATCAGGAAAACCAAAATAGGACAACCTGCTAACGGGAAGGTCCGTCATGGTCCTCACGGAAGAGAAAATATAGAGGATGTAGTTTAGGGAGTCTGATAAGGAAAGCACTGGAAGCCTCGAAAAGCTTTAGAGGGCCTCTAAAAACTTTAGGGAGTCTGATGTGGAGAGCGCTCAAAGCCTCTAAAACCTTTTAAGGAATCCACTATAGTTTCTCTAAGAAGGCAGTCGGTAGGCCATTAATCATAACTAGAGAAATCCCCCATAAAGATCATTATTGGATGAATATGGCATGTTTGGTCCAAAGAAGATCCATATAAATTTTGTAGAATTCTCCCTGGGAATTTTTCCAATATAGGAAGTTTGGTTTATAGGAATAAGTATCATAGGAACTTTTCATATGGTCTACATGTCATGCAATCCCATAGGACAATTTGTTTACATTGGGCATGACCTCATGCAAAGATTTCTTTGTTTCACTCACAACCATGACATATACCAAATCATTCACAAAAAAACTACATTTTCCGGTGGTGTGCTGATACATGTTAAATACTTATAGTTCTAAAATTTTCATATTATTTCTTATTCTATTAGGCATTGTTCTATATTTCGTTGAACTTACCCATCAATAAACAGCTAGACGAACCAGTTTATGTCAATGTGTCTATGGGTACAAATAAAAAAATGTGTCTACGGTACGTGTATTTTCCATAATTCAAGATAATAAGAGAGAAACATCAGCATATATTTTCTCACACTAGTAGAAAAAGAGTCAAATGTGAAGCACATTAGTGCCGGTTTGAATTTGAGCCGGCACTAATGTTAGTACCGGTTCGTGGCGAACCTTTAGCACCGGTTCGTGCCACGAACCGGTACTAAAGTGAGTGGTGGCAGGATGTTGTCAGTCTGGGGCCCCTCCAGCACCTTTAGTACCGGGTCGTATCACGAACCGATACTAAAGGTCGTCCTACATAGACCCTTCGTCCACCCGAGCTCGCTCTGTTCTTCCCCTTTTCCCTCTCCTCTCTGTTCTTCCCCCTCTTTCTCTCAAGCTCATCACACATTTTGCCCAAGATTTGAAGGCCCCCATCCATTCAAATGATCACAAAGGTTAGCAACTCTTTCCTTTCATCTCTCATTGCTAGATTAGCTCGTGCAATGCTTTATATAGTGATTGATTTTTGAGTTTAGTAATTTGGGAGGAATTACATATATGTGCTAGTATTTGATTTATATGCAATTTGAGGTCAAAAATAACACTTAGTTTTGTATATGTAGGTGTGGTTTACTTAGTACCTTCTAAATCTCCGTCGTAACCACCGTCGATCGCTCGCAACGTCCCGTTGCCGGCACCACCTTGTGGTGAGCCTCTTGTTCATGAAGTTTTATATAAAAAAAATGATGCTTGTGTGATTTGGATATATAGTTACTTATATAATTATCTTACCCATACGTTGTTTGTTATGCATAGTGCCATGGTTTTGATATCCGTCCCCGTCGGCCCTCGTCCGGTTTATGATTCAGATGTGGTATATTCTCTTTTAAAACTATTCATTGCATTTCGTGTTTATGACAAATTATGCCCATCAAGTTGACATAGATATTTGTATGTAGGAGGTAGTTGAACCCGAAATTCCAACCGACCCTATTGTCGAGAGGTTAAATTTAGTTGAAAGAGAAAACGAGGATTTGAAGGAAAAATTGAAAAGAATTGAGGGGGAGAAGATGGAATTGGAGTTGCATGTTGCCGATGTCGTCGATGATCACAAGATTAAGATGGAGAAAATGCGCTTGAAGATTAGAAAGATTAGAAAATATGTCATTCATAGTGAGGCTTGGTATCATTATGCTGTTGGATCAATTGTTACCTTAGTTGCGATCTTGATCGCATTTGTTGTTGCATTTAAATTCTTTAGCTAGAGAGTTATTTGTTTGTTGCATTGAAGTGTTGTATGCTCTTTATGTATGAACTTTATGTATTGTATTAATTTGATGTTTTTGGTGCTGTGTATTGAAGATGAGCCGGCAATGGATGTACGATGACCGATGCTCTCCCGAGTTCATTAATGGCGTGCGTACTTTTCTGCTTGCGGCTGAGGCAAACAAGCGAGCAGATGATTTTATGCATTGTCCATGTGCTGGCTGTAAGAATGGTCACAATTACTCTACGTCAAGAACCATTCATGTCCACCTGTTTGAGTCCGGTTTCATGTCCCAATATAATGTTTGGACCAAGCATGGAGAAAGAGCGGTTATGATGGAAGACAATGAAGAAGAAGAGGACGACGACAGCTATCCTGGCCATGGGTTCCCTAAATACGATGATACAACAATGAGGGAAGAAGCTGAGCCGGTAATGCGGGAAGAAGCTGAGCCGGCAATGCGGGAAGAAGCTGAAGAAGAGGCATCGGATGAGCCCGTTGATGATCTAGGCCGGGCCATTGCCGATGCAAAGAGAAACTGCGCAAGTGATTTGGAGAAGAAGAAGTTGCAGCGCATGTTAGAGGATAAAAAAAAATTGTTGTACCCGAATTGCGAAGGTGATAAGAAAAAGCTGGGCACCACACTAGAATTGCTGCAATGGAAGGCAGAGAATGATGTATCTGACAAGGGATTTGGAAAGTTGCTGGTAATGATAAAGGATATGCTTCCAAAGGACAATGAATTGCCCGAGAGTACGTGCCAAGCAAAGAAGGCTATCTGCCCTCTAGGGTTAGAGGTGCAGAAGATACATGCATGCCCTAGTGATTGCATCCTCTACCGCCGTGAGTACGAGGATTTGAACGCTTGCCCGGTATGCGATGCATTGCGCTATAAGATCAGCCACGATGACCCTGATGATGTCGAGGGCGAGCGCCCCAGGAA